GTTTGGCTCCTTTATCGAAGATAAGATGGCTGAGTGTGTCTGGCGTTGTTTTTGCATCCTCTAATCTGTTCCACTGGTCCTCAGGTCTGTTTCTTTGCCAGTACCAAAACATACCATTCTTAAACACAGCCTCCATCTAGTCATCTACGTGGATTCCTGCCTGTGACTTAGGAAATATTATTCCAAAGATGTTTTTCCCATTAGGCAAAGTCTCAAACATTCATTCAGTTGTGGAGGGATGACCTCTCTTCCTTGCTTAGGATAGGAAGAAACCCACAACTTTTGTACACTGCTGACCCAATCACCCCAATTTTAGTCCTTATTTCCACTTTCGGTTTCTCACACCAGAGAAACAATGAGGCACTCAAACATGTGTGTCCAAATTATTTCACTTAAGAGTACGGTTTCAAGGTCCATCCATTTAGCTATAAATGTATGAAGCTCATCCTTCTTTATAGCAGACTAGTACTCCATTATATAAAAAAACCACCTTTTTTTTATCCCCTCCTCAGTTGATGGGCACTTGGGCTGTGTCTGAGATTTAGCTATTACAAACTGTGCAGCTATAATCATGGGTGTGCATATATCGCTGTGATTTGATGCTTTTAATTCTTTCAGAAAGATACTAAATTGCCTATATTGCTGTGATACAATGCTTTTAATTCTTTCAGAAAAATACCAAGAAGAAGAATAGCTGGTTCAAATGGAACCTCTACTTTTAATATTTTGAGGAATCTCCATGCTGATTTCCACAGTGATTGAACCAGTCTACTCTCCCACCAATAGTGGAGAAGGGTTCCTTTCTCCCCACACCCCTGCCAGCATTTGGTATTGCTTGATTTTGTGATAGCAACCATTCATTCTGGGGTGAGGTGGAATCTCAGCATTGTTTTGATTTGTATTTCACAAATGACCAGTGATGTTGGACATTTTTTTCATATATTTATTTACTGTTTATACTTCTTCATCTGAGAAATGTCTTTTCATTTCAGATGCCCATTTTTGGACTGGATCTTTAAATTTGGGGGTGTCTGATTTTTTTTTAGTTGTTTATATATTCTAGATAATAGTCCTTTATCTGATGAATAGCTGGTAAAAAAATTTTTCCCACTCTGTGGGTTGTCTCGTCACTCTGTTGTTGGCTTTTCTTGCTGTGCAAAAGCTTTTTAATGAGATGAGGTCCCAGTTGTTCTTTGTAGTATTTCCCATGCAGTCTAGGTTTTGTTCATTCCACCTATTCTCTCTTCTAGCAGAGTCAGTGTTTCCATTTTAATATTTAGAGCTTTGATCCATTTCGATTTCAGGTTAGTGCACGGTGAAAGATATGGGTCTGGTTTCAATTTTTGGCATGTGGGAAGCCAGTTTTCCTAGCACCATTTATTAAAGAGGCTTTCGTCCAAAGAAGGTGTTTGGCCTCTTTGTCAAAGATAAGGTAGCTGAGTATGTCTAGAGATGGTTCTGCATTTTCTAGTCTATTCTATTGATCCTCATGTGTGTTCTTTTGCCACTACCATTCTGTTTTTATCACAGCAGCTTTGTAGTATAATTTCAAGCCAGGGATTGTGATACCCCATGCCTTACCCTTGTTGCCCAGAATTGTATTTGCTATTCCAGGTCTCTTCTGGTTCTAAATGAATTTTAGGATACATTTTATTCTTTACAAATGTTATTCAAATAATTGCTCATTATTTTAGACTATGAAATAAAGATCTCTGGTCAAAGTGCTAAGTATCTAAGGAGGCATGTTTTGAGTTACAGTTACATAATATATAATTTTAATTATTTCTGCCAAAATTATTTGAGAATTAGTTACTGAAGTATACTTGTAGAAAGAGTATTTCAAAGAGATAGCAGAAATAAATTTTAAACAAATAAGTATTTACTTACCCTGCAGCAGTTTAATTCCTCTGCTGTAAGTATGATTGTACCACATTTCCTCCCTGGAATTCCTCTACAACAAAAATACATTTGTATGCATTAGTATTTTATATTCACATAAAATTTAAATTCATCTACTTTTATATACTCAAAAGGCATACTACTAATAAGTATGTGCCTGTCTAACAAGAAATATTCCCAGTCCAACTCTTTCCTTCACTATAGCTTCATCCTTCCCAAGGAAGATCAACCTCTAATATCACTTTCAACAGCCCAGTCCTCTCCCAAGAACAATCAATGGCCCTACGTTGTGCTGTCTAATGAGGACCACATACAGTGCAATATAACAGAACTTTCACGGTTTCCATGGTGTCCTGCAGCCTTATTGGAAATCTTGGTTTCCATTATTCCCCACTACCTTCATCAAGACAGTTATTTGTGTTTACTTCTTACTGTGTTCATTCCCATACCCTAGCATACTGCAACTTGCTAACTGTTCCTTATTTTGTATCAAATTTTACATATTTCCAGATGAAGTTCTATTTTTTCCACAAAAATCATACCTCTTTCATTATACTCTTATTGCTCAGTACCATAAGGATTAACACTTAATTATTCCTAAATTGTTAAAACTCACAAATTCTTACTCTTTCTTTTCTGAAGTACGTTAAGTTTTTGTTTTTGTTTCCCTTGGAGACAGGGTCTCACTATGTAGTTCAGGCTGCTGTTGAATACACTATGTAGCCCAGGATGGCCTAGAACTCTCAGAAATCCTCCTGTCTCATCCACCCAACTGCTGGGATTATAGGCATGTGCCACCATACCCAACTGAAGTAGCTAAGTTTTTAAGAACAAATTCATGACATAAACTTCTGCTTAATTTGCAGAGTTAAATAACTATCCATGGAAGGTGCTCAATATTTAAGCAAGAATGTAACACATAAGCAAAATTAAAATCACACTCAACTTTATATATACTAGTTTGTTTATGCTCAGATAGCTTCTAGCTAAGGCCAAGAACAAAGTCCACTAGGAACATGCAGGATGTGTGCACAGGTTCTGCTCTAGTTTGGATGAGTCTTAGAGTTTGGCTCCAGAGTGGTGATACTGGGAGGAGCTATGAGCCTTTAAAGGTGGGGCTAGTGATCACTGGAGTCCTCAAGTTATAGGGGTGTACTCTCAAGAAAACTGTGGGTCCCCAGACCTTTCCTGTCTCATTTCGTGAGATGAGTGCTTTGCTCCAATCACACACTGTTGCCACGATGTATCTTCCTTGCAAGGGGCTCGATGCTATGGGCCACCTGATCTTGTATTGTAACCTTCTGGACTGCAAGACAAAACAAACCTTTTCTTTCTATAAGGGAAATTTCTCTGATATTTTGTTATAGTAACATGAAACTAACAGAGTTCCTTACTTTACTTAAGAAAATATAGAAATAAGTCCTTAAGAATCCTCTAAAGAGCAATCCTAATACTCTGAAGGTATACTTTGTTATTCTTTGTTCTATCACAAACTATAGTGCCAATGACTCTGTATGTCTTGGGAATTGCAAATGATGGATTCACAGCCAAACAAGTGTTTTTTGTTCCCAAGAATATAATCCATCCCCAGTAATCTATTAGAGCATGTATGCAACTAATATATAATCTGTTCTCCTTCTGTTTGGAGGAAGTGAAGTCTTAATATCTTGATTGGGAGCAAAGTGAAAGAATGGAAAACTAAAATATTATTAATTGCAAAAATATCAATATGAATCATATTCAGTCTAAATCTGCTCTGTTTGCAAATATCTCTTCATAGCACCATTTAGGCTTCCGCTAACAGTCATCTATAGCCCATGCCGGAAACTGCCCCTCACAAGATCTTGCTTCCACCATCTCTTTATTTCCTTCACAAAATTATACATGTTAAGATTTTCCATTTTTTATGTCCTTATGACTAGGATCTCAAGAAAGTGAACTTTGAACATTTTTCTTAAGATATTATGTTCAGCATTTTTAGCATCCCTCCAACATCATTAACAGGTTAACTTTAAAATCCAACTGTACCTTCCTTCTATTGTGATCATGATCTTTATATACTGGACTGCACATCTAAGAGAAAACACTTTAAAATTTTATATATATATATATATATATATATATGCAAACATCTATATATTTGCCCTGATAACTTACAAGGAAAGTAATAAAAACCAATCAGAAGCTGAAAAACTGAAGTTGAAACATCAGAAAGATAAAATGAACTGAACCTTGGAGAATTTAATATTCAGCTTCTGCTTTATGACTACTTGAGGTATTAAGATGAAAAAGAAAAAAAGGGGTGATGGCTAATTCACAAGATGAAGAATTCAATAAATAGCCAAACTACAGCATAAAACTTGGATCCTAATGACTAGATTGCCTGATTGATTATAGCATCAATTACTATATTACTCATCATAGCATAAATTATACATAGTTATTTTGGAAATGAGGAGCTACAAAATAAATCCCTGCTTTAAGACTTGTTAATGAATGAAGGAGAAAAAAGTTCTAGCAATTCAAGAAAGACTAAACTATACTTGCTGCCTTAATTAGTACTATGTGGATAGATACCAAAACTTCAAACCAGGAATGCAGTTTTATTCCAGTAATCGTAGGCACCTGGTAAATACAGATCCTGTCTTAAAGTTTTCTTTCAAATTATATCTCAAAATTTTTTCACATTAAAAGTTTAAAAGTATTTAAGAGATTCATTTAAAAATACCATAAAGTCTCCAAAACAACAAACTACAGAATCAAACAGATTTAAAATATTAGAATTTGTGCATAATACAAAAAAGTAAGTACATGCATATCTAAAATGTAGGAAAAGAATGGAAATATGAGTAAAAAAGGATTATAAAAATAATAAGGAATATTTGGGATAGAATAAAGAGCCCAAAAATAAATGCAAGTGTATAGTGAACTAATATTTTTTTTCATTCCAGGGATTGAACTCAGGACCTTGTGCTTGAGAGGCAGGTGGTGGAACCACTGAGCTAAACCCCCAACTCTTGTCAACTAAGTTTTGACAAAGGTATCAAGAGAAGATCTAGGAAAAGAAATAGTCCTTTAAAGATACAGTGCTGGGAAAACTGGAATGAAAGTGGGTCCTTATCTTAAACCATGCAAAAGAAGGGAACTGGACCCTTATCTTAGATCATGGTTAAAAAAATAATCAAATCAAAAGGATATAAGATCTAAATATAGACCAGGAACTATACAATTCTACAAGAGAACACAACAAAAAAGTTCACAGACCCTGGTATTGGAATGATTTTCTGGATATCACACCAAAAGTTCAAACCACAAAAGCAAAAATAAATAAATGAGACCACATCAAACCAAAAAATTCTGCACAGTAAAAAACATACCAACAAAATGAGATAGCCTAATGATTGGAAAAAAAATCTTTGCAAGCCAAATATCTGGTAAAGAGCTAATAGCCACGTTTTATATTTAAAAAAAACCCATGAAATTCAACAGTGGGAAAACAGTGATTTATAAAAGAGCAAGATTTTTGAAGATATCTCTCTAAAATGACATAAAATGACCAGCAAGTATTTGAAAAGCTACTCAACATCAATAATATTCAGGGAAATGCAAATCAAAACTGTAAGATACAATCTCACACTTGTTAGGATGGCAATTATAAAAAAGTCAAAAGATAACAAATGCTAGTGAGGAAGTGGACGAAAGAGAATTCTTATAATTGTTGGTGGGAATGTAAACAGACATGTACCTTAAGGACACGTACCCTTCACCACCTTGTGAAGACATCAGATCTCCTGTGTTCATTACACCATTGTTGACAGAAGCCAAGATATGACAACAACCTAAGAGTCCTTTGACAGATGAATAGTAAAAAAATGGTGGTACATAAATACAATAGAATATTATTCAGCCTTAGCAAGGAATTAAATCCACTTGTGACAACATAGATGAGCCTTAAGGACATTATGCTAAATGAAATAAGCCAGACACAAAAATACTGCATGATCTCACTAATATGGGGAATCTAAAAAGAAAAAAAATTCAAATATACAAAGATAGGGAACAAAGTAGTGACTGCCAAAGAGAGGGAGAAATGGGAAGATGTAGGTCAGAGGACATAGCATGGAAGATATATAGGACAAACAAGTCTGGAAATCTATTGTACGATATGAGGACTATAGTAAAAAATTGTACCGTATGTGAGATGGATGCTAAATGAAATGTTAGTTGTTTTATACACACACATACACACACACAACAGGAAAAGATATAAAATGGTAGACATGTGAAACTACTTCAGTATAGTAACCTTTTTTGTCTCTCTAACATCATGTTTTATACCTAAATATACACAATAAAATTTATTTTAACAACAACCAAGTGTATTTGGAGAATAAAGCAAATAGAACTTCTAGAAATAGTGTGGTTATGATTTTATTATTTTGATTGTAATTTTAAAAGAAAGAAAAAGAGAGAAATCAAACTCTCATTCAATGGATTTAACCTCAGATTAGATGTAGAAAGCTGTTTCTAAAGAAATAAATTACCTGCTCCCTAACATATCGGGTCAAGCACAGGACAACAGCTGTAGACATTTCTATTCAAAGAAAGAGAAAACAGATCACAAAATGGAGATCTGAAGCCTGGCTGAGCATTCTCTCACTTTTCTGTGGTTCACAGCTCCACTCTTGGGTCATTCTATCTCTCGGATGAATGGCAGCAAGGGACTGCAGCTGAGCAGTTTTATCAGCCTGTTTCCTGGCAGTAGAATTAAGGGGATCTGAGAGCTGACTTTCATTTTTACTCAAGCTCTCTTTCAGTCACCGCTGGGAGTATTTCTATTTGCATAAAATTTCAAGATTGTGGGTCTCCTGCCTATGTCACAGGCTGACAGGTTCCTCCACATATTATTCTTAGACCTCATCTTTATTTTTAGTTTTCTCTGAGACAACTGTGAGGATCTAGGAGTTACATATGTAATCCCTTCAAAGAGCATTCTGTGTGACTGAGTGTTCTGATTTCCAGATCTCCCTGAAGTTTTAGCAGTAGTTGCAG